GCTATCTGTTGACTTCCAACTATAAAGGTGAGAATTTAAATCCCAAAGGAGTTATAGTATCCATTTTAGGTAAACAGTATTTACTTTTTGCATCACAGTTATTGTTGAGCCATGATTTATAGTTGCATCTCATGGTATACTATAATTTTGTTATTTTATTTTATTACTTACTCCCCCCCGAGGATATGTTTAATGATTTTTAGAGAGAGAGAAAGAGAGAGAGAAATATCGATCAGTTGCCTCCCATACATGCCCCGACCGGATTTCGAACCCACAACCTAGGTATGTGCCCTGACTGGGAATCGAACCTGCAGCCCTGTGGTGTCCAGGACGACACTCCAACCAGCCGAGCCACCTGGCCAGGGCTACTATAATTTATTTCCTTTCCTGTGCAACTTTTTTGCCCTTACTGGAGGTAATAATCTCTTCTTTTTAATGGTTTGCTTGGTTTTCTTGGTGCCTCCCACTAATTCTGTTCCCTAATTTCCTGCCGTGAGTGGGAAGCTTAGGGCTTGGCCAGAAAACCACAGCCACAGAAGCCAGCCGCTCTGCCCTCCCCGACACACCAGCCTCTCTCCCAGAGCGGACTTTAGGGTTCAGATAAACACTGAGGACATTCCTCCCCATCTGACACGTCAGTGTTGGCCTTCACGGTCCACTTACCGCAGCTGCATCTCCTGGTGTTTCTCAAAACACGTAGCTCCTTCCCATGGTGTCGGGAGCTGCGTGCCAGGGGAGGTGCACCTTGGGCTTTGTCCATCGTGAGCCCAGTTGGCAGGAGCACGTGGATCATCGGACTGGCCACTGGAGACTCCTGGAAACCCTTCCGAGTCCAGCCCAAGGCCTGCTGTGCTCTTCCAGCGCCCGCTCCCCCACCCGAGTCTGTCCACGGCACCGCGGGATGCCAGCTGGCCCCGGCAGTGCGTCCAAACGGACTTGACTGGCGAGAGACCTCACGTACAGCAGTGGTTCTGGGGTGATTTTGCCGCCCACAGGGGATGCCTATCAATGTCCAAAGATATTTCTGTTGTTACGACGGGGGGGGGGG